ACAGACCAAGATTTCAGACTCAGCTGAAGCTGAAGCATTTGAAGAAGTAGAAGCTATTTTTTCCCTTCTCTTGGTTACAGCTTAAAGTCGGTGTTTCTCTTCCTTCTGCGGGTGTTGCATGTGAGAAAATCTGTGTTCTGAATCTGCCTTTTGCCAAGTGGTGTGTTTATGGGATATTGCGAAATTGGAATAAATAATTGGTAATAGTTACTGTATCTATTATTCTGTTAAGTTTTCCAATAGAATTAATTTATTCTAAGTTCTTCTTTCTTTTATATTTTAACCAATGTTTGAATAAATTGCGTTTTGCTTAACTTTGAGTAGTTTGATCAGTTGAATTGCATGTGGAACACAAAACCTTACATTTGCCATTAAAATAAATAGTTACGGTCTAGGCTACGTTCTTAAAATATTTTAAGGGGTGTCTAGTCTGGTCTATAACAAATTAGGGCCTCTTGTCAGGATCAAAATCTCTAACTCCAGGTTGGGTTTAGGATTATTGGACTAAAAGACAGCAAGTGGTAAATGTTAGTGTCCTTTGTTTCAGGTGTTGAATTAGGTTGATGTAAACAAGGTGTGCCTTGTGTAGTAATGGTTCTTTCAGTCACTAAGAATTTCCTGAAGGTGGAAGAAATCACATCTGGAATTTTACAGCAAGTGAGTAAGGTGAAGCTTTTAGAATTGGCAGACCACCTGGAGTTGGGATTGCCTTTGTCCGTGCGAAAAGGGAGGTAATTGCAGCAATAGCTCAACATTAATGATTGCCAGAAATGTCATCGGAATCTTTACAAATATCTACAATTCAATTGCAAATGAAGCAGCTTGAATTAAGAGGCAAAAGAAAAGGATAGAATAGCCCTAGCAGAAGAAAAATAGAAACAGAGAGAAAAGCAGAGAGATTAAACTTCAGAATTTGGCAATTAGAGAGAAAGTTGAATAAAGGGCTGAGGTGAAGGTAGAAGGTAGGCTTAGTGAGGTGGACAGTGATAATATGCAAACTGACTGTAGTCAAAGGCCCAGTGGGGATCTGTTTAAATATGTCTAAGGATTGCCTAAGTTCGACAAGAAGGAGGTGGAAGCCTTTTTAATTTCATTTGAGAAAGTAGCTACTCAAGTGGAATGGCTGGTGACAATATGGATATTGTTGATCCAAACAAAGTTGGTCGGTAGAGTTAGTGAGGTATTTGCATCGCAATCACAGGAGGTATCTGGGGAGTATGAGGAGGTGAAGAAAGCCATCTTAAGTGCAAATAAGAAATAACAAGGTGTAGAGCTGGATGAACACAGCAGGCCAAGCAGCATCAGAGGAGCTGGAAAACTGACGTTTCGGGCCTAGACCCTTCTTCAGAAATCCCACAGACATTTCAGGAATCTAAGGAGGGACCCAGGTCAAACATACATTGAGTTTGAAAGGATCAAACAAAGTAATTTTGACAGGTGGAGAAGGGCATTAAAAACAGATCAAACGTTTGACTTCTTAGAGAGATGATTATTTTGGAGGAGTTCAAAAATTCACTTCCTGAATTAGTGAGAATTCATGTGGAAGAGCAGAGAGTTAAAACTGCAAGTTCAGCAGCGGAAATGGCTCATACATCAAAGTTTGGCTTCCAAAGTCAATTTCAGTCCATGAGGGATAGAAACTGGGGAAAAGAGAAACCCTCAGATGGTAAGGGAAAATGAGATCTCATTGAAGATAGTAAAGATCGTTTACCACAGGGTAAAAAGGAAATCCATAAGGGGGAAACAGAAGTAAAAAAGCTCAGGTGTTTTCACTGCAATAAAGTAGGCCGCATGAAGTCAGAGTGTTGGTGGTTTAGATAAAGCGCTAGGAAGGCAGATGTGGGGAAACAGGATAAGCCAGTGAGTTTTGTTGAAGTGGTAAAGGAAAGCACAGTGGAAGCTAAATAGCTGCAACAGAATGTTCACACTGATCTGGGGTTGGTTGAGAAGAAAATGTCAGATCTCCTTAAAGAATTTACTTGCAAGGGTACAGTTTACTTGTATATGACAGGAAGAGCAAGTAAAGAAATTTAAATTTTAAGAGATGCGGGAGCATGTCAATTTTTGATGTTGAGTAATGAGCAGATTTGTAATTCAGAAGGAGTATTGCCAGAAAAAGTGGTAATATGGAGAATTCATAGCAAGACGAGAAGTGTTCCATTATATAAAATGAGTTTAGAGAGTCTGGTGATAAGTAGAGAAGTGGTGGTAGTAGTACTAGAGAAACTCTTGGTTCCAGGAATACAATTTATTCTGTTAATTGATATAGCTGGATCACATGTCGAAGTAATGCCTACTGTGGTTGAAAAGCCACAGGAAAATCAGGCAACTGAGGTATTACATGAAGTATATCTTGGGACTTTTCCTGACTCTGTAGCAACAAGGTCACAAATCCACAGGTTAAAGTAGGAGGAGAAATCAAAGAATAAAGACAAGGAAATTCAAGTTCAGTGGTCAGAGACTATGTTTGATGAAATGGTTGAGAAAAATCAAGAACAGGTGGAAGACAAAGTGAATATTTTTAGTTCAGAGAAATTAGGTGCTGGCGGTGGGTGGGTACGCCTCAGGCCTTTGCTCCAGGAAGAAGCGGAGAGCCCTAGTGGGGGATGGACATGTAAAGGGATCTGGTGATCTCCCCTCGCAATGCCTCCAAGCTGACTCGCCCAGCCACACACAGCCCGCTTCTACCTTCTTCCGAAAATCCATGAACAGGACTGCCCAGGCAGACCCATTGTTTCTGCCTGCTCCTGCCCACAGAACTCAACTCTTTCTACCTTGACTCGGTCTTTTCTCCCCTGGTCCAGTCCCTGACCACTTACATTGCGATTCCTCCAAAGGTTTATACTAGTTTCCGAATATCCAGTTTGCAGGCTCTAGCCGCCTCCTCTTTACCACGGACATGCAATCCCTTTACACATCCATCCCCCACCAGAATGGTCTCAGGGCTCTCCACTTCTTCCTGGAGCAAAGGCCTGAACCGTACCCACCCACCACCACGCTCCTCTGCTTGGCTGAGTTTGTCCTCGCCCTAAACAACTTGCCTTTTAACTCCTCTCATTTTCTTCAGATCAGAGGAGGGACCAAAGGACCTGCATGGGTCCCAGTTATGCCTGTCTCTTTGAGAGGTACGTTGAACATTCCTTGTTCCAGGCCTATTCAAGCCCCCACCCACAACTCTTTCTCTGATACATCAATGATATCATCGATGCTGCCTCCCTCTTTTGTCTGGAATTGGAAACATTCAGCAATTTTACTTCCAATTTCCACCCTACCCTCACTTTCACCTGATCTATTTCTGACTCCTCCTTTCCCTTCCTCAACATCTGTTTCCATTTCTGGGGATAAACTGGCCGCAAATATCCACTAATAAACCCATTGTCTCCCACAGCTACCTGGATATACGTCCTTGCACCCTGTTTCCTGTAAAGACTCCATTCCATTCTCTCAGTTCCACTGTGTCCATCGCATATTTTCTGATGAGGCCAACTTTCACAAGGGAGCCTCCAAATGTCCACCTTCTTCCTCAACCGAAGATTCCCCAGCAGCGTTATCGACAGGGCTCTCAACCAGGTCCGAACCATCTCCTGCACTTCCACCCTCACACCCTCTCTTCCCTCCCGCAACAGTGAGAGGGTTCTCCTTGTCCTTACCTACCATCTAACCAGCATCCACATCCAGAAGATCATCAACTCCCATTTCCACCACCTCCAGTACGATGCCGTCATCAGACACTTATTCCCCTCCCCTCCATTGTCCGCCTTCTGCAGGGACATTCTGGTCCACTCTTCCTTTACTCCCAACACCCCCCACAGCCCAACGGCACCTTTCCCTGCAATTGCTGAAGGTGTAACAGCTGCCCATTTACCTCTTCCCTCCCTGGTATCGAAGGGCCCAAACATACCTTCCAGGTGAAGCAGCACTTTACCTGCACTTCACACAATCTAGTCTACTGCATTCACTGCTCACACTGCGGTCTCCTGTACATTGGGGAAACGAAGTGTAGACTGGGTGACCACTTTGCAGAACATCTATGTTCTGTCTGCAAAAATGACCCTGTGCTTCCAGCTGCCTACCACTTTAACACACCACCCAGTTCCCTGGCCAACATCTTTGTCTCAGGCTTGCTGCAGTGTTCCGGTGAAGCTCAGCGCAATCTGGAAGAACAACACCTCACTTTCCGCTTGGGACCCTGCAGCCCTCCGTACTCACTATCGAGTTCAATAATTTTAGGGCCTGAACTCTTCCACGTCCTAGCCCCCAACTCCACACACCAGGCCTTGTTATCACATTGTCTGCCATTAGACACTACCTATTGTTAGCCACTAACAGTCTCTTTGGGTCTATGCGCACCTATTGTTTATTCCTTACCCCCTCCCCCCACCCTATGTTCTGTATATAAACCAACATTTTCCTAGCTATCATCAGTTCTGAGGAAGGGTCACCGGACCTGAAATGTTAACGCTGATTTCTCTTCACAGATGCTGCTGAGCTTTTCCTGTAACTTCTGTTTTTGTTTGGCTCTTATCCCCACTCACTGTTTACTGCCCATTAGCCAATCTCTATCCATGCCAATATACCTCCAACACTATGGGCTGTTATGACTTAACCTTTTGTGAGGTATGCCTTCTGGAAGTCCAAATACAACTCATGTACTGGTTCCCCTCTGTCCACTCTGTTTGACACTTCCTTAAAAGACTCTAATAAATTAGTCAGACATGATTTCCCTTTCGTGAAGTCATACCCACTCTGCTTGGTTGGTGAAATTTTCACTATTGTGAGTGCTGAGTGAAACACTTTGGTGTATTTAAAGGGAGGTTAGATAAACATATGATAGGAATTAGATGAACAAGGATATATGCAACAAATATCGGCATGGGCCTTTGCGTTAAATGGGGTGCTTTCTGTGCTATGAATATTTTGGAAATTCACTGATCTAACTAAAAATGATGATGAGATAATGTTGCTTTAAATTACAAATAAATTAGACGATAATCATTTACCTGTGAATAGCAAAAAGCAATGCCAATGCTGCTACTGACTTTTCTCCTCCAGACAAGTTATCCATAGGCATGAATCGTTTCCCTGGAGCCACACAGTTGTAACCAATACCATCCAAGTAAGGTTCTTCTGAGTTCTCTGGACTGAGAAATGCCTATTGAGTAAAGATATTTATTTTAACAGTTTTCTGCAAACAAATTCTAAAAGGGAAACTTTTGAATTAGAAGTAAAAATAATGGAAGTCCAGGATTGATTTATAAATGATTATGTTATTGAATTTATAGGATTGAGTTTTTTCCAACTATTATAGTTTGGTGAAAGTAGTGCGCAAGCAAGCAAGGTATTAATATTGTATTATTTCTTTGTGGTCGATGTAAGACACCATCCTGATGAGGATTGATGTGTCAATGGATTGCAGATTCATTGTGAAGAGGAGATGGATTGGACCAGAAAATTAGAAATTATGGAACCACGTCAGAAATAGCATAAATATAAGTAGGAAGAGACTGTACAAAGGGGGAGAAATGGAGTCAAGATGGGAAGAAATAAGTTCAGTGTGACAGATTCAGGCTAAAACGATAGATCTGCCAGGACAGATTTTGTGTGGATTTTGGGAAGGAGACAGAAAAAGACTGTGTTGGTCTGGGGGACCTTGAGGTGGAAAGCTGTAGAGAAAGATCTCTGGATGAGATGAGGTCCACGATGGTCCTAGAAACAACAGCTTGAAGTTAAATACATGGGTCATGATCGAGGGAGAAAGGCAGAAGTGTCTTAGAGGTGGCACTCAGCCTCTGCCAAGTATAGGTTTGCACATCAGGTGACAACTGCATCACCCTTCTCAGCAGGTTTGATACCAATTTTGGGGTTGGACCTGAGGGGACAGGATGCACCAAGCTCAGAAGGAGATAGAATTTAGAATTTGGAGTAAGAACGGGAAAGGACATGAGGAATGTCGGACCAGCCATGGCTTACTCTTGTTCCTATTTCTTATGGTCTGTGATTAGTTTTGTAATTATTTTGACCCTTTGTATCATAATTTATGTGTATATCTAGGTGAAGCAACTTTTTAATATTTTATTTAACTTGTTCCAGAAGCCAGCAGGCTCTATTAAATCATACATTAACAAAAGATTCCATTGCCTAAAATATATTTATAGGCTCTTGAACTCCCCAGAACATCTAGATATATTGATTAGAGATTTGGGGTGACATTACAGCACACACCCTCTTACCTCAAGCAGACACAAAAATTATCTCGAGGTGCCTCAATAGCTGTTTCCTGTCCTCTGGCCTCCCGTTGTAGCCACAATATTTATATGGTTAGTCCAGTTAAATTTCTGGTCAATGGTAACCCCCCACCCCCTAGATTGTTGACAGTAGGAGATTCAGCGATTGTAATGCTATTGAATGTCAAGGGGCAGTTGATTATTAGATTCTTTCTTGTTGGTAATGGTCATTGTCTGGCACTTGTTACTTGCCACTTGTTAGCCCAAACCTGGATATTTTCCAGGTCTTGCTGCAGTTGGACATGGATCTGAAAAGTCAAAAATGGTTCTGAAATTGTGCAATCATCAATGATTAATAAAAAGTCATTTATGAAGCAGTTGAAGATGGTTGGGCCAAGGACAATGCCTTGAGGAACTCTTGCAGAGATGTCCTGGAACTGAGAAAACTGACTTCCAATAACCTGAAACTGAGATGACCGACTTCCAACAACCACGCCCATCTTCCTTTGTGGCAGGTATGAATCCAATCAGCAGAGGTTTTTCCTCAATTCCCAGTGACTCTAGTTTTGTTAGACTCCTTGATGTCACATTGAATCAAAAGTAGCCTTGATGTCAAGGACAGTCAGTCTCATCTCACTTCTGAATTTTAGCTCAATTGTCCATATTTGACCCAATGCTATATCAATCCAGGATCTCAGTGGTCCTGGCAGAACTCAACTTTCTCACTGATGCTCAGTTTAATGCTAAGCAAGTGCTGCTTGATAGCACTGTTGATGACACCATCTGTCACTTTACAAATGATCAAGAATAGAAAGGGCAAAAGTTGACCTCGTTGGATTTGTCCTGCTTTTTGTGCACAAGACTTGCAGGGTAAATCCATCCTGACTGTATACTACTTTCCCACCATCTCTTCTGAATCTGTCCTTGGTGGGAGAGTCCAAACCCATATTTGGTGTTTAGGGCATTGCAAGGTATAATTCTTTGAGTATGACTGACAGGCTGTTGCTTCACTAGTCTGTGAGACAGATCTTCTAATTTTGGCACTAGTCTCAGATGTTGGTAAGGGGGACTTGGTAAGATGAACAGATTTGTTTATTTATCATTTCTAGTACCTTAGCTGATGCCAGTTTTCATTCCTTTTTGAGACTTTTTACAGATTCATACAACTGAACAACTTGCAAGACCATTTACAGACCATGTAAAGAGAGCAGCCTTCCTTCCAATAAAGTAACATTAATGTACCAGATGTATTTTTATAACAATCCATAATGATTTCATGGTCATTATTAGCTTAATCTCAAAATCTGCCATGGGATCCATTACCTGGATCTCTGGATTACAGGGTGCTAATACTATTATTATGAAAGAAATAATTATTATGAAATTATTATGAACGACTTATTTTAAATAAAAGTTTTTTGAGAAGAAAACTTCAATTGTTGTTTTGTATGTGATATTTAATTAATGACTTGGATATCAGAATAGAATAGAATTTCAGTTTTTTCCAGTAATGTCAAACCTGGAGAAGTGGTAAACACTGAGGATGAGTCAACTGCAATAGCTCTGGTCATCACATTTTAATAATGATGTGAGGGTCAAAATGTGAGTTTAACAAACTAATAATAAAAGCACAAACTGAAGATTCTGTATCTGCATGCACGTAGTATTGAAATCAAAGCTGATAGTATAGAAAGAAAAACACAAGTAAGAATTAGTAGCCATCATAGTTGTGGCTGCTGGATGACATGGTTTAAGACCTGATATTGAAGGGTACATAACATTTAGAAGGGACAGGAAGTTTGGAAAAGTGGACAGCCGGCTCTATAAATTAATAATGGCATCAGCACAATAGACAGCATGAAATATGGTCAGGAAACGGGGATGTAAAAATAATTTTGGTTGGGATGAGAAATAATTAAGGCAAGAAGTCACTGTGGGACTGGTGTTCAGGTGCTTAACAGCAACCGCACAATAGGAAGAAATAGGAGCTTGTCAGGAGGTACAGTGATAATCATGCCAGATTTAAACCTACACTTAAAGACTGGAAAAAATCAGGTGGGCAAAGGTAGCCTGGATTATGAGTTTATAGAATGTTTTTGGGTAGTTTCTGAGAACAGCACATTCTAGAGCCCAAAGCTGCAGGAAGCAGGCTATTTGAGGTCAACATGGAAGCAATGTTTCCTGTTGTATGAGAGTCTAGAACTGGGGACACTATTTAAAATTAAGGATGTCCCTTTTAGGACCAAGATGAAGAGTTTTTTTTATCCTCTTGAACTGTCTGACTTTAGAACTTTCTGCCTCTCTGCCCAGTTGGATGCGGGGTCACTGAATATTTTTAATTCAAAGAGAGATAGATTCTTGTTAGGCAAGGGAATCAGACGTTATCTAGGTATATGGAAACATGAAATTCAAAACAGACGAGCCATGATTTTATGAAGGACAGAGCAGGTTTGAGGTTTGAGGAACTGAATGTCTTACTTCTCCTATTTTCATGCATTCATATTTTTGCTGTTGTATCCAATGCCTTTTCCTCAACAAAGTGCCCACTGTTTAAAAGATACACAGCAAAGTTTGTTTTAACCAGCACCTTATCAAACCTCAAATGCCACGATGTTGTAAGTGATGTGTATACCCCCTGCATTACATTTCTATTACTTAATGTGTGTTTGTGCATTGTTTTTGGGAGGTGTGTTCATGTTATTACATAGATTTTTTGAGGGATGTTGATTGCACTAAGCTTCACTTGGTCAGGGTTTACCGCTGTTCCATGTATCTCTTCATCATCCAGATGTTTGAGCAATCGGCACACTCCTGGTCCCATGGTGCAGGTTAATAAAACATTTGCTGTATTTATTTGGGTCCACACAATCTTTTAAAATATATTTAGGTTATTTCTTCATAACACCTTTTACATGCCAGTTCCCTAAAAACACCAATTAAGCATTTTTTTTGTTGTCCAAATAGACCTATATCTATATTTATGCTGCCCTTGTGAGCATCTGTGAACTTGGAAGAGCATGATGCTCTAAATTGATTTTAGAAATACATGATTACAAGACTAATTTCTTTGCTCCAAAAAGCATTTTTTAATAAATTTTTCTGGGGGGTCTAATATGTAGTCTAATCGAGAAGTAAAAATTCCACTTCCTGTTCTAGCAATCTGACTGCCCAATTTCAAGATTTTTGTATTTTACTGTGCTTTCTTGTAGTGAAAATAATTTGTTACAGCCCAAATATGTTGAACTTCCATTATTACAAAAACTTGAGTCAGATTCCATAATTTAGATTAAAAAATCAAATATATGATTAATATACTCCTTTTGTCATTTTTTGTGAAAAGTTAATATTTAACAATATCATGCATTAGACCTGGGTCAGCCATGATCTAATTCACTGGCGAAACAGCTTCAACATTTTAATGGCTAAATCCAGTTCCTAATCTACAACTGCTGGATGAGTAAGCTTGGCACATCCTATCAGATTTGAATATTTAGAACATCAAACTGCTCCAACAGGTCCTTCTGCATTGTTGAAGGCAGATGTGACATGACTCTAAGACTCTGATAGTTCGAGAAGGTGTCACCTGATTGACAGGTATTACAGGAACAGGTGTAGGCAATTTAGCCCATCGAGCATGCCTCGTTATTCAACATGATCATCTAATTGAATGCTTCAATGCCATTTACACATATCACCCCCATAACCCTGTTCACCACAGTAGTAATCAAAACTCTAACAATCTCAATCTTAAACATATTCAAAGACTGAACTCCACAACCATCTGTGGTAGAAAACTCCAAAGGTACAAAATATTATGAGTAAAAGAATTTCTCCTCGTCTCAGACCTAAGTGGCATCCCTTTTATTTTTAAATTGTGCCTCTTTGATCTACACTCCGAAACAAAGGGAAATATCTTACCTGCATCTAG